GTCTCTGGAACTACATGTGCGATCGTTCGTGTAGGTGTGAGACCTCAGCAGGCCACAGATTGCCTGCGATGCAAGCGAGGGTCGAAGACCGCCCAAGATTGCTCTACGCTGTTGCACCCAACCCGTCCTGTACCCCCGTAAACCAGCTGTTCGAAACCTCAGGCAACAGTTACATGTCAGAAGCCCATGTCATCCCTCTGATTCCCACCTATGCAGGCCCACTTTGCAGCGATGCGTGGCACAAGCGACTCTTCAAAAAAAAACTCGCCGTAGAACAAGGGTTGCTTTCAATGACCGTGACTTAGATGGTTGGGCCGGATGCTGACACCGGTGGTACATGGAGCAGGCTTCTTCAGAGTTGGTGTGTCTGCAACGCGCTGCAAGTTTTGATGATGACTTTGCCAAAGCTTTCCTTACATGGATGAGCACATTGGAGATCCTAGCTTGGGCTTTTTGAAGCAACCGGCAAGCGTTCAGGCCGAAAGCGGCGGAAGGACGAGTTCGGCGAACAGCAAGACACTCTCCAAGCTTCGTGCTTTACTTGAGCACTTTGCCTTCCCCTGTGAGATTTGATAACACACTCCGGGAGGCGTTGCTGATCAGTGATGCATGGCATGTGAAGATCTCTTCGATATCGCCATGGGCAGCTCGCCGGCTGTGATCTTAGTGTTTGGGTTAGACAGTTGAGCTTCCGAGAGAACAACCGCCAACGTCACAAACCGTTGCGCAACTCTGTCATCAGAACCAAGAAGAAGGATTCCACCTTCGCGTCCAGTTCATCGATTTTCCGCGCTTGGGACTTTCCCGATTCCCTGGTCGGAAATCGGGCAGCTCCCGCTTTCTGCCCTATCCTGCTGGAAGTGTTTCTTAAAGCTTGCTACAGTGACTAGGTCAGTATACTGAAGTGGGCAGATGTAGCCACACCCAGACCGTCCAAATCCCAGCAAAATACAATAAAAAGCGGAAACCTGCAGACAGCCTGAGAATGCATCATTGCTGCGTGCGAGTGGCCGAGCGGGATGGGTGAGGCAGAGAAAGATTACAGTTTCGAGCTTGCCAGCATGCATGAAGCTAATGCCATTGGGTCACATGCTCTGACATATTTACAGTTGCGAATTTTCATACTCGACAATTGCTGATGCATTGGCTAAAGACCAGCACGACTAGATGTTACACGTCATATGCAGAAAACTACGCCGTAGGCAAACACCACACGCGAATGCAACGATAATTGTCTTGTGTCCGACGCAAAGATATAAGTATAGGTGCCTGAAACACACTGCCTGCGACTCAAGACCGCAGTTGCTAATCGAAAGCTTCGGTGAGATACGACTCTCACGTCTCAAAACAGGAATCGGGGATTGGGGTTTAGGGACCGCAAGTACGCAGAGACAGGGCGCGGAGGCTAGAGCCTCAGCGTAATAGCAAACCGCCATGACATGCTGAAACTGTGCGATCTCACTACTCAAAGGGGAAAAGGAGGGACCCTTAATGGGGAACCCTACCCTATAATGGGGCCATATAATGGGTATATAGTAGCTAATTATATTAAGGGTATATGGGGTCCTTATTAAGGGTCCCTCCTTTTCCCCTTTGAACTACAGTGCCTAGCGGACGGTGCAGGTGGGCTCGAAAGCTCAGCTGCCCTTCCCAACCCAATGCCGGCCACTTCAGAGACACAGAGCGAGGAGCTATGGCCGAAAGCCTTCCCGGCAGTACCACTTCTGCCGGAGCTCTAGGGTTTACGGTTTAGAGTTTAGGGGTTTGGGGTTTAGGTCTGCTAACTGCTCCCATGTAACTCAACCCAACGATTCACGAAGGAAACCTGGTCTGTCGACACAATAAGTCCACTCAGCCTTAAACGACTCTGAGCAAAGGCACCTCTCCTACGACGGTTCTCAGTGATGCGCCATAAAATCTCAAGGCTGGAGACCTACTCAAGGCCGACACTGGGAAGTTTAGGGCTCACTGTAGGGATACGTACACGTACGCGCCTTGGAAAGGTACTTTCGGACATGGCCTGTGCTAGAGACCACCCTCGCCCACGCGACGACGGGGCAGTTCGCGGAAAATATGGGATGCATGCGGTCGTACTAAGACGGGCATAACACTTCTAGGCAGATACATGTGCTGTTCGCGGATAGCCCTCCATCTCAAACATCCTCACGAACTAACTATGGGCAGACTACTGTGATACTTACCCTTCGTCGGTTCGCAGGTCTTAAGGTCCAAGAACTCGACGCCCCCAATTCTGCTGCATCGCTTCAAATGGCAATCAACAGAGTTGCACGTGCTGGCTACATAACAAAACATCGGCTGCATGTGATCCCATCTGATATCGAACGGCCTTTCCTGGTGTGCTTGCGCCAGGCAGCGTGCAGGGAAGGTGATGAAAAGACAGTCTGCCGCAGAGGAGGTCAAAGCGGCTCAAGCTCATGGGTGGTTTGATGTTGAGTTTGTTCAGGCCTTCAGGCCACTTGCCTTTGCAGCTCGTAGTTAATTGAAGGCTGCAGGTGTCTGGCAGATAGGTTCGATCTTCGAAAAGCAAACCAGAGTGCAATGCCTGGTTGTGCCGGTTCGCTTCTTCGGCATGGTTGCATAGCACACAGAGTTCGGATACCATGGTCACTTCGGAAGTCACAGTGCCTCAATCTTTGAGGCCCTAGAGGCCCCAGGGATTGAGAGCTTGAACCTCCGGTGAGGAGCTAACAATGCTTGAAATCCTCAGAGGCAGAATGCTGGCTGGACGGCTCTATGCAGGCGCGACCCGAAACTGCACGCGTTCCGACAAAGCAAAACATAGATGATGTCTTGCTGAGAGTTCAGGCTATTATGGATTCTTTGCTCGGGGTCCTCAAACGGCGCGAGCCTTGCTCACTGCGAGCCGCCAGTCTAACACAGTTTAGGAAGAGGCACGCTGGAACACGTGCTCCGAATGCCCGTCTTGTGGCGTGAAGCAGCGGGAGCTTCCCCAGGCCTTCCGACCCCTCGTTTCAGTTTAGGATGTAGGGTTCTGGAGTTTATGTGGGATGTAAGGAGTCAAGCGGGAGGCTTTATGCAAGAGCTCTTCTTCTCGGTGGTCATTGGCCCACAACTACACACGTTCAGTTGCCTCGATATGGCGCTTGGGGCCGTTCAGGGTCGAGAGGGTCCTTGCAAGAGTCGAGTTTCCAAGTTCGTGCGATCCGAGTCTCGTCAAAAGATCCGGGATTCTCCGAGCCAGCAAAGCTCTTGAAAATTGGTCATCGGACTCCAGCTTGGATGGCACTGAGCCGCGTGTTTCTGATTTGGGATCCCCATGTCGAGAGCAAACGGTGCAGGCTTTTCTCAGGGGGTGCAGTGTTCAGGAGCACACCTCTTAAAGTTACGTTGGCTTAGGCGCGGCATGGAAGAATGCTAATTATTTGCAGGCTGCGATGTGTCGGGTCATTAAAGCACGGCAACTCATGAGAGCATTTAGCAGTTTAGCAGACGAAATCCACGACAAGTCTGCAGCAGCTGTGTCCTAGGATTCTATAGGTCATCAGGCAGAGGCCATCTCTCACGCAAATGTGTGAGCAGCCCAGTTCTCGGAACGTCTCACCAGTTTAATGTCTATGTCCTAGAGTCCTAGAGCGCTCGCCCATGACCGCCCATGCCAAGCTTTGGACACCTAAAGACGGCGAAAACCGCAGGCAGTACTCTCCCGTGGACAGGCGTGGAGGCGAAGGCAAGAGCCCTATGAGGCGAGGAGTTGCCCTGCGGGGGTCACCTCCACGAAGAGTCCGTGGAAAAGTTTTTTGTGGATTCCTGTGACTTCTGAGTCTTAGCTCGGACGGGCTCTCCTGATGGCGAAAACCAGTCATGGGACTTCAGCCCACTACCATCACACTAAGCTGTTTGGGACCTCGGGAGCTCTGTACTCCTACGAGGCATTGCTACAAGGTCGGGTTTGGAGTCTGAAGTCTTACGGCCTCGACGCGATCAAGACCGGATATTTCTCCAGGCCTCAGCCACCCGGATGCCAGTTTAGTCAAGATTGAAGCAACGAGCCATAAATTCTATGGACGACCGAAGCCAACCGGAACTCTAGCTCCAATCCCGCAGAAACCAATGCGGCGTCACTTCAAACCTCAGCGCATGCTAGATTCTCGAATAAGGTGTCTCCTTCGATCAGTCTCCGCTCCTATCTTTGCCCGTGAGCGATCACACTAGACACGAAGTCGGTATTCATTGCAATACGGCCTCCTCAACCTTTTCGCGTCGTTATCAAGAAACTGATCTGCTACCTCATGATAACCGTCCTACATGCATCTCCACCGGAACTGTAAGATGTGCAGGATTTGCAAGCATCCATCTACTCTTCCTTCTCAGGCTCTGCTGTTTAGAGCTGCCCGGGCTGTAGAATGAAAGACTTGCTCCGATTTCGGAACCCGTAAAGCTGGCGACCAAGAGTTCGCTTGGATCCGGAGACAATAGGTCCGTGAGTCAATGAAGGGATTTCGATGGTACCTGGTCCGCAGGTCCGTGAGTCCGGGAGGGAGAGGAGTTATGAGCATACTGCGGTGGTAATCTTGGAACCTGAATACAGAGAGTCAACCCGGATTGGGACATTTTGAAGGTGAAAGCCTCTCACGTTGCCTATCTGCTAGCTGGAAGAATTGGGGTGTTTCCACGATACTCAACACGAGGACCCGCGGGTTACCTGCAGGACAACAAGGCCGCTGCGATCAACATGAGGTAACCAACACCGGCCCCGAAGGACGATCTGAATACGGTGCAGTACCAACTCTCTTGCTTCCTGCTTGGACCTGGACTCATTATCGCAGATGGCCGGCCTCACCCCAACCCTGCCCAGCTCCGTCCCAAGTGCCTCGAGTCGAAGGACCCGCCATCCGAGAACCTGAGACCACTCATGAGAGTGTCCGGCACGAAGCCATAGCGTCACAAGGTCAACTCACCGAAAGTGTCCAAACATACAGCCAGAAGCGAGGCTGAGTTGTGCACGCAAGGAAAGAAGCTCAGCCTTCTGTGAGCTGGGCAGCCTTCTCCCTGGGCCAGGGTTTGCATCGCGCTCGTCAAAAGAAGCTTCATAGTGCTAGCCTAACGTCTGCATCTGCAATCGGGTGCGGGAGAAGGAGGAGGAAGAGGATGAAAACCAAGGACACCAAATTCGGCCGACACGAAATAATTCTCATCTCTCACTGATGACCCGCTGTCATGCAGCACAACAACCAAATGGTGATTGCTGAGCTTAGGTCCATGGTCTGCATACTTCTTGGCTTGTTGTTGCCAACGGGCTTATTGACTCAGAGCCGACCGTCACGCAGCGCATGTCCAGGAGATGATTGCTTTCGTCTTTGACTTGGCAGAAGGCATACTAGTGGCGCGGGGTCAGAGAGTTTGCAGCTCGCGGAGTAGAAGAGAGCCTTCCCCCTTCAAGAATTGCAAAACGAAAGCCCCGAGAATGAAAGAACACACCCGTCTCCCATCGGGTCGACTGTGCGGTCGGGAGTGGTTTCGAGAGTGAGATTTGGTTGAGTCGGGACCAGTGCTCGGCCAAGAGGCATCGACTGCCGGTGCACTTCGATGTCCTCATCTTTCGGACTGTGGGCTCGCCACACTTCTATCGAACTCTAAGGGTTCTCCGGGCTGAAGTTCGTGCCAAGCTCTGTACGCCGATCAGCCGCTCTCAACCCAAACCCTTCAAGTCAGCCAATGGCATTTCCAAGTTCCTCGCAATCTCTAGGCAGGGAGGGGGCTCAAGCAAAACCAAACATGCAAAGCAGCTGCATGGGCCGTTGATGCAAAAGCCGGCTGCAGTTTCAACCGCTGCTTCTGAACAAACCCGAAACTCGGACCTCTAAGGACACAATTGCTAGGCTGCCAAGCAGCACCGGGCTCCCAGGAGTTCAGGTTTCGAACCACACCGGCAGCCTGACAATTGAGACGGGTTCTTCTTCTGCCGTTCTTAGAGTCATGACCCTTATGACCTGTTGCCAGACTAGAACACTCATGGATGCATAGCTTCGGGGAAGCGGTGTATTGGATGGCGAAGGGTTTTAGATTCCGTGCTGCCTTTATCCGGCACCTGTTGAAACCTCTCTGTCTCTCTGATCTAAGCGGGCATGAGCCTTTCAAAGGCCTGCCCGGTGCGCTCAGGTGTTCCATGCATTGCTAAGGCAAAGATAGCAATTTGCACTTTCCAAGGTTAGCTGCAAAGCCCAAGGATGGCAGTCAAAAGCAAACACAGAAGCATGATGACCACAAGATATGTCCTGAACTCGACGCAATCTTACGGGCCAGTTGGAAATAAGCTGCCCTCAAGCCTCTGACCCTAATCGTGCTGAGTCCTGAACTCCTTCACCTCTACACCTCCGTGGGAACACACAACTACCAAACTCGGGACCTCTTCAGCCTGCCATCGGACGATGGCCGTGCGAAGATCCTTCTCTGAGTAAGAGTTCAGGGAGGGTTCCGATGGCTCTTTGTCAACCAATTACTGAGCTTGTAGGGCTTCTCAACTAGTTTCTAGCAACGATTATCAAGACCAGACTATTCAATCTGCAAGGCCTCTGACATCTTGTAGCTGCTGTAAATCGTTGTAATGCGTAAAGAAGAGGTGTGAGCTTAGGCTTGAGGGTCTAACGGCCGTCGGAAGTTGAAACTGTCATCTTACCAGAAGTAGAAGTGCGCACAAAACCTACGACATTCTGACGAGAGGACATCTGAACTGTGCCATCCGCGGCTTTTCAGGTTGGAAGGAAGGAACAAACGGCAATGGCTAGCTGCCACACACGCATGCACGTCCTCACACACATACACACACAAGCCCGGTGCCTACAACCGACAAAACTGATCATGTGTCCCGATTCTCAAGAAGGTCCCGCTGGTGATTGTGAAACGCGAACCAATGCTTTTGTGCCTCCAGCAGGGAAGCTGCCATCTCACGGATGAGACGACCTCTAGAGATGCGCGCTTTAGGCTCCGAAAGGCTTCGTGATCATCACAGCCTTCCTGGGTATGCCAGCAGCTGCCTCTATGCACTGCTCCCGGAACCTATGTAGAAACGGTCGCTCCATCAACATGCTTGGACCGGGCGAGTTCTTCAGAATATCTGAATGATCATGCCTTCCAATTTCACCGAAGACATCCCAACCCAAGATCATACAGTACTATACTGGCCAGGCACCAGCGAAGGCCCGGAAGATGGAGGGAATGCGAATGAACGGGATGGCCTGCCCATCATCTTTCGACCCCTGACCCTGTTGTTGAAGAGCAATACAGACATTCCCAAAAGTGTAAACCCCAACCCAGCATTGCCAGCCGATTCGACAAGGAGACCCCGACATTCGGTTGGGGTCCGCAAGAAGGGTGCGAGAGGCAATCATCTTGGAAGCTGGCAACGTTGGAGCTGAGTGCTTCATTAACGTTGAAAGTGCGGGATGCTCGGAAGTCAACAAGTCAAGGGGAACAAACTGATTGGCCTTGGCTTTCCGACGGCCCTGAAGCCTCCTGCAACCTACACCCCTGCGTTCTGACTTGAACTGCCTCAAGTTCAAGATCAACCGCAGTGAGGGCGAATGGTAGAGTTGATTTTCGAATCGTTTCGCAAGCACAACAGCGGCCGAGATGAGAGACTGCTTTCGGCCCACTTTTCAAGAACCGGAAGGTCGCCTCGTTATAGAAGAGGACAATAGCCTCGTCCTTTGTGGAACGAGACTGCGAATCAACTTCGCACAACATGGCTAATTACGGCTGCCACAGCTTTAGGTTGAGTAGATCTCAGTAGTCCTGGCTGACGGGGACCACACGCCAAAAGCCTGCGAGGCCACTCAGGACTGAAGGTGGCCACGGCATGTGCTTGGATAGACCGGGCGCTGACACACCTACATACCCACATATACTAAAATCCGTCCATCCACCCATCCATCCATCCATCCATCCTTCCATCCATCCATCCATGCCGATGTATTATGTACGCGCAGAACATACAAACACAGGCAGGCAGAAAGAAACGAGACAGACAACCAACTGCGCCAACATGCAACTTTGCAGGCACAAAACAAGTGTTTTGCATGATGGCTTCTGCCTAGACATCCACACCTCAGACATCAAGCAACAAAGAGCAGTGTACCGAATTGGGCGCTTGCATGCACAAATGCATGTGTATGCGCATATCAGCCTGCATGTGTGCGCATCCACTGGGAATGCATGCAGCTGTTCATGCTCAGTGTGCATACATAATGACATATCTACGTATGTATGCATCCGTATGTATTTGTGCATAAGTGTGTGTATTCATATATACGCATATACATATATATGTATAAAATATATGTACAAAGCACAACTACATGCTCAATCTTATGAGAGAGCCGGTGTATCGAAGCAGCATAAGCACAGATCAGAATCTATCAGAACTGCCAAACACTTTGTGAATGCCATACTGAACATCACGTGTGGTGCCAATGGTCAAACGGCAACGAGGCTTCTGCAACTCCGGCGAATTATTCGGACAAGTGCTTCAAGGCTGCCCGGACAAGGGTTGACAGAATGACCACTACAAGTGCCAACTCAAGCTCTACACTCAGATTGAAACCTAATCCCTAAGCGCTGAAACTCATACTCTGTAAATCAAGAAAGGTCGAATTCCAACAATCACCCGAGGAGAGGAGCCATGACGGCAAACCCTGGATTAACACAGCGCAATGCGCCTGACATGTGCTTCATCGCACCCTGCTTCTTCAGCTTGAAGCTGATCTCGTACTTCTTCCAGTCCTTGCTGTCGGGCCAAGAATTGGGGTTGGACGTGAGTCCAAGGAAGGGTGTGTACTGCAATGCATTTCAACTAAGGATTCCGAAGAAGCCTCTGGAACCGGTTGTTACTGCTCAGGGCTGTCATAGCTCCTCCAGATGCTGCTGCCGCGTCGGGGGTACAAATGGCTTTAGAAACCCAGCGTCGGCTAGGACTACTACTGCGACGGCACTGCAGGAAGTCATTATGGTCAGTTGACAGTACATACATCTGTGCGCATGCACTGCAGAGCACATATCTTGCTGTACGCGTTACTCCATGCTGCACGCGTGCAAGGTACCGTTCTGTAGTGATACACCTCACTGCAATTTAGCATGGCTCGTCAGCATCTGTTATTAATACGCTGCGCGATATTATGAACCTAGGCATACTCTGCTGCAGGCAATGTATACAAACATGCTTATTTATCATGGATCGTCAGTTCTGTCATGTTGTGACAGTGACATATTGCAGTGTGACTATTTATAGCTCCTTGTATATAACATATATGTGTGCCTATACGTGTGAGCCGGCAGGTGTGTACCATGCGCATGTGAGACTGGATCCTCCACCTTTTCCGAGGGCTTGCGACCCTTGCTGCAGCTCTATTTGGCATCGCTCATCCGAGCACGATGTTCGCTGTGGCATTGATACAGGACTTAGTGTGTTGAGGTTCGACGTTTAGGACATCAACTTCCCATCCCACAGCGGCCCAACTTCACCTCATCTGCCCAACTTCTCGTTCCTAGAATCGGCACCTTATCCAACAGCAATGCCCCCAACTTCCGCCGGCGCCTCCTTGGCGAGCACGGTGGACTCGAAGTTGATGGGGATTCCTGGCCGGTGTTGCGGCTTGGCATTGGTTCACGGGGAATCCGATCTTCCGAAACAGTTCGGCTCGAGGATCTTCGAGACTTTTTGTAAGTCAACTCTCTGACCTTGAGAACAGCCCAAATGCAACGGCAACAATCGGCTCTCAAGAGATCTCTGCAGTGCGGGCAATGCGAAAGCATGTATCGAATCCTCCGAACACTGCAGCTTTTCCTGGATCAGAAGAAGCGCTGGCCTAAATCCCCAAACCTCGCCGAGCCTCGAAATTCCTTGCCCTGAACCCTATACAGACAAGGCGGAAACCCTTGAAACACGAACACAGCAAGTCCTGCCACGGCAAGAAATCGCAAATAGGAAAGCTGGTCATTCACCCGTTGCCGCGCCTAGCAAAGTCCAGCGGCCTGTCTTGCTCACCTCGAAGGTTCGCGTCTTGGACTCCTTCCAGGCTTCACGGCTCCCTTCCGAAGGACTGTGTTGGTGGAGCGGGTGCGGCTCCGAAAACGCTCAGCCTAGGGATCGGGTTAGTCAGCCCTTGCTGCCCAAATCCCATGCCTAGTTTGAAGATGCTCTGAACTGTCCGCGTGTACTTTCGGAGCACAATCCGCTTGAACCTTAGGGCCTTAGGGAGCAAGGCGGGCACCAGATTTGGGGCGTTAGGACAGCAACCAACAAATCGAGATGGCGAGCCGACTGACCTGATACTATAGTAGCGCTATTCTGTTCAAAATTACGACGTGAATACGATAAGAGTAGATAGTAGGACTGCTGACAAGAGAACTCGGCCTCGTCCTCCTGAACTAGCCTTCGGAGATTCACCGAGGCGCAATTATCGAAGATCCTCTTGTTCTCCTGGTGCCAGGGTGTCGTTTGTTTTCCTGTTGCGTTCCCTTCTTCCTGCTCGGGTTCCGGGTTTCGGCTAAGGATCTAGAATCCAGGGCCCTATGGCCTTCAGGATGACTCCGGCTAATCCTTGAAGCTTCCAGATTCACGTGCTCTGGAGCTGAGTGTGCTGCTACCGGCAGATCTCTCAGACACAAACACGCTCGCGCTCTGCAGTAGCTGGGTGGCGATCAACGACGCGCTGGCTTGTGTTGTAAACGAAGGGCCATCTGAGGTACGCAATGCTCCAGATTCAAGCATAATAAGAGAGAGAGAGAGAGAGAGAGAGAGAGAGAGAGAGAGAGAGAGAGATAGATATATGGACAGAAAGCCCACCTCTGGATCACAGAGGCTTTCGAAGATTCGCTTCGCGCTGTAGCGAACCCGGATGGTTCCCCTGCGGCAGCACGAGGCTTTTTCGAAGCTGGATCTTAGCATTTCGTTTCGGTTCGCTCTCGCCAGCTTCGAAACGCTCGGTGCTTGAGAGCTTGAGATTGGATAGGAGTCGCAGGGGGTTGCAAACTTCAATGATGTGTAGTGGACAAAACACTCCAGAACTGAGAGCCTGGAAACCCTGAACACAAACATTTACAAGTGTGGCCGGACCTGGCAGCTAGGACTCCGTTCTCCTCGCCGCTGGAGAGAATTTCCACCTTGGCAGCTCTGGGGAGCAGAAGCGGCAGAAACCTCCACACCTGCATCGTGCTTGCGCCTGAAGCAATCTTCAAAGTTTCGAGCATTGCAGCTGCAGTTCTGGTAGTATTTGTAGACAAGGCTTCGGAATCCTTCGAACTGGCTATTGAGGATCGTAGTGCCTGTGTATAAGAGCCCTCAATGCTGCGTGCCATGCCTCAGGCGGATCGCCACAGTCTCCAATATGCCTGGAGGTGAGGCTACACCGAAATTTCTGGGCTGTTGTACCGTTAGGGTTTGGGGTCAGCTTGGTTTCGTAATTGAGGAGATTCAGCAGATTGGAAACTTTAGAAGCGACAGATCGCAGAGTGGGGGTTCAGATGCCTTCGACGCCACCCCATAAGCCGCACACAGGCTTTTACCTACCAGTCATGAGCCGAATAAACTCCATCAAAATCCTGAACCTCTCTTAAGCCCCCCCCAATGCAACCGAGTAAGAGAATGTCAAACCCTCATGATCCGCTTGCATGTCATACGAGTAACTCTTCCTGGCCTCTCCTTGGCCTCCTCCGAGGTAAACCTCGAGACGTCCAACCTCGGAGCACGCAGTAGTCAGTAATTAGCTTCAAAGATCTTCAGGGCTTTGAAATGTAGGGTCGTGGAAAAGGTAGGGAGTAGGTAGTCTTCAGAGTAGTTTGGGGGATTGTCAATCTGCACTTTGAGAAAGCGTTGCCGCAGCAGAGGCAAAGTTTGCAACAGCGCCAGCTCTTCTACTGGCAAACCCGATGCTTGGTGACTCACTTGAAGGTTGAGTCAGCATGCAGCCTCAGGAAAAACTGGGCAGCAGGCCCGTGATGCTGTGGATGCCGTGCCGATACTTGCAGCTAACTTGGGAAAGCGTTCTTCTCATGGTACCCATGGAACGGTCTATGCAAGTGTCCCCAGTGCGCATGGGCAAACATCTCCCAACTGTCTGCGGCCGGTTCGCCCGAGCACCGCATCCTGTACGAATGGTAAACAAGCTCTACAGCCATGATTTCATAGTGCATCATACTTACCTATACTGCTCTCTACCTAGTTCTATCCCAACTGCCTTCGCGAGTCCTAGATCCCACCTACACAGAAGCAGTTGGGGACGAGAGCCGAGCTAAGTCGGATAAAGAGTCACCCAGTTTCTACAGCTGTTGCAGACCCTCTCGGCGGCTGACGCCACGGCATTCAAAGGGATGTTGGAGCGACCTCGCTGAGACCTGAAGCTTCGAAGGAAAATAATTTCTCATGGCAGCGACTGCACTGCTCACTAATGGAAAGGATCTCGTCTCGAGTGAGTCGCATGGTCTCGAGTACATGAACAGCAGTGTGGAGATTCGCTCTGGCTCAACATTTCTTACACCTTTGCAGCCTTTGCATGTTGCAAGTATAACAAGACAGTGACGGAATATTGCCGTTCTACATGCTGCTGCTTCCACGCTTGCTGTTGCTGTGCTACAGTAGCAGGATGAACTCAAGAGTAGTCCGGATGCGCTGGATGCGATATAGTCCTGTGAGCTCTTATCCTCGCACTAGCCTACGGGAAACACACGAGGCTCTGAGACTCAAACAAAGTGCGTTCATCGCCGGCAGGGCCTCAGAACCAACCGCAGTTGATGTTCCGAAGCTTGTCTGCTAGGCAGCTGGAATCGGATGCTGCCCCCCGGGCGGGCCCACTTTGCCGCCTGGTTCACTCAAGCATCAAGGATTATCTTCGAGAGTGGGATGCTCGGGCCGCGCCATCACAATCAAGGCCAACAGGCAAATCTGACGGTCTGAGGACATTGATGGAAAGCTTGGTCAGCTGAAGTCCTCGCATGCAATTCCAAGTCTAAGTCTAAGTTTCTTGCCGTTGACCGCTTGCCGCGCAATGGTGCTGGCCCTGGGCACCGGGTTACCGGAATGCGTCTGCGAATGCGTGTTGCACGGTTGCCACACTCTGTCATGTTCTATGCCTTCGGTGTGATCGGCAAGTTACGGTTTAGGCAGGCAGCTTGAGGTTGAAGGTACAGTACACCATGCTCTTCCTCATCAACATTCTGGTCCATGAGCTCACATGTCCAAAGCCAGTTGTCGAGCAGGCACTGTGCCTTGGTCGGCAACCTATTCCTTCGCCAAGCTCAACGCAACTTATCTGTCAGAGAGTGTGTGTGTGTGTGTGTGTCTGTGTGTGTCTGTGTGTGTCTGTGTGTGTCCGTCTGTGTGTGTCTGTCTGTGTGTGTCTGTCTGTGTGTGTCTGTCTGTGTGTGTCTGTCTGTGTGTGTCTGTCTGTGTGTGTCTGTCTGTGTGTGTCTGTCTGTGTGTGTCTGTGTGTGTGTGTCTGTGTGTGTCTGTGTGTATCTGTGTGTGTGTGTGTCTGTGTGTGTGTCTCTGTGTGTGTCTCTGTGTGTGTCTCTGTGTGTGTGTGTCTGTGTGTGTCTGTGTGTGTGTCTGTGTGTGTCTGTGTGTGTGTGTGTCTGTGTGTGTGTGTGTCTGCCTATCTTTGTGTGCGCACGTTGGTGCATGCGCGGTCTGTGGCTGAATCAAAGCGATCTAGGATGCCCAATGTTGAGAACCACCAAGACAACCGAACACCAAGATTGATCACAAAGCCGCCTTGACGGCCGTCCCAGAGTCGTTACAAAGGACACCTGCACATGGCACGTGTGGCACACAGAGAAGAGTGTCATTGCTGACAGTGCCGATCATGATGTTTCTTCTCATTGTGCTGCTTCGCAGTTGCTTGGGTTGTGGGATCTTGCATACTTTTGGGGGATTACGTGCCTATCTTTCCACGTGTGCTTGTTGGCATACGCAGTGCTTCGCTTTCCACTGCCGTGCCTTCGAACTAGTGAAAGCTGCTCTCGCCTTGCACACCCAATACACAGATACATACATAGATGTGATCGCCCACTCTACTGTGGAAGAAGGTCTGAAGAGCGGATCTTCAGTCTCTTCGAGGGCTTAAGGCTTGGAGTTCTAGCTCTGCCCCTACTCGCAGTGATTTAGCACCATGGGACATTTCTTCCCGAGCTCGTCTGCTCAGGTCCTGACAAGAAAGGATTGTTGCCGGAAGACCGTACACAGAACAACTAACTACCAAATAATCCTGTCACAGGGTGACAAAACCTCGAGAACGCAGCTGCAGCTGACTCTGCACTGATCGTTTCTAATGAAGATGTTAGTCTGATATCCCTAGAAACACTGTAGATCTCCAAATTCGACTGGGCTCGGTCTTGCATCTTGAAACCGAGCCCAGGTCAACTTGATAGCATGCTGACTCCAAAGCTTTGGGACTGCTGTCAGCCCGGGCACTGTGATTCGATTAAGGAGTAGGTCTGCTGTGTTGACTATTCAGATAGGTGTCAATGGCTCTGCCTTCTAGTTATTTCCACGCCCAACTGTTGCTTGGTTTACCCTGCTTATCATGCGTATTGCAAACGGGAAAAACCTGTTGCTACCACTAAGAAGATTTCTGCTGTCAAGGTTGTACTTCATGTCTGCATGTCAGTTTCTGTACACTTAGAGCGAACTGGTACTACTTCCGACCAGCTCATACGGATATTATTGTGGGTATTGGTGGCAGCATTTCTATTGTTGCTGGGGTCGTTGAAGTTGTTACAGTCGCTGTGTATTTCTCTTTCTACATGTGTATAGTGTATAGTCCTATCTTGATTTACTTATTGGTTTGTTACGTATGTACTTTCGTGATTATCCACTGAACTGTTTATTCATCTAACGAGTTTTTTGTTTGTCATGATTGAACACTATCACGGCAAATATTGACATCATGATGGTTATTTCAAGCAATTACTGAGTAATTAGTATTTCACATGGCTATCATTGCTGCAATCGGTATTATCAGTCCTGCTCTGTAACTCTCTGCGAATTCAAACTCGGTGGAAAACGTTGCGTTGACAGCATGCCTCCAACAGTCTTGCCAACAGCGCAACACTGGCAAATAGCAGCACTCGCTTGTTCCAAGCCATAGCGCGGTTTTTGAGGGAACCACAAACGTCACCGTGTCGTCACTACGAGTCTCTAATTAAGCTGGGCATGAGGTTTAGTCAAGGCTTCCTTTACAACCCAGGGCTCTCAATGCATCTACTATCTCTGCTTGCTGCAGATGCTATGCTTGAGACGTTTGGCAATCCTTGATTTCTTATCTGAGCAGAAGCTGCGGCAGGGACAATGCAACTCGAACCAAGTCTATCTGCGACTGTACAGTGGCTCAAAGTGCACCCGCACATAAGTAGAGTACCCTGTCGTGACCAAACTACACAGAAAGTCTCAGCGCCCCGAATGCACACTCATAGCTGTTCAATGGCCGACAACACCAAGCAAGTCAGGTTTCGAAACATAGCTCGTCAACAAAGATTCGTGAGACCTGGTCACCAGGACACCAGGAGCTACTTTCCAAGACCATTTTCACCGATGGCACTCGGCTCACACATGTCGGCTACTTGAGTAGGGTTTCGCACCTTCAAGCTCTGTATGTCGACATGCTATAGCACAATTGCCGTCAGCATCCATTTGGAGCAGAAACCCAGCAATGCAGAATCATTTCATGCACAAAGCAGTGAAATCTACCGGCCGCATATGTGGCAGTCACATCGATCGACGACGGCACCTGCACCACGCTGGCGGGACTGCCGACTTATCACCATGCTCTGCATACCATCTTCATCCTGTGAACACGATGACGAGTGCTGAGTCTGTTGATGTGAAATCACTGTCATGATGTCAGCGTCAGCGAAGTATTGGAAGGACTGGCAAGAATGGAGGCTTGGCATGGCATACAACAACAACGACAACAACAGCAACAGCAGCAGCAGCAGCAAAACAATCATAATCATGCTAACAATACGAACATTATCGTAAGACCTTAAAACAGCAGTAACAGCAGTCTTGACAAGATTAGACGTGTGAAGACACTTTGGTATCCCATGTGCTACGATTGCCGAACTGAGAAGGATGACTCAACGACCTGGAACTTCGGAGTGAAACGATCGCGATTGAGATCCTTCTGTCGGAATCCTGCGAGGTAATAACTCGTCTT